CATCACTGCTTGCTTCAGGTTTGTTTTGACGCTACAGTGTGCGTTTGGGTTTAGCCCGCCAGCCCAATGAGAGTCCAACTGACAGTTCTCCTGAAAACATCGGACTGCAACGTCCAGTGAAACGAGGCATTGCGGTTCATCTTATTCAAGAACCTAAAACCATGAGGGAACCAATCAAGCCGTAGCGACAAAGCCTACCTTGGGCTCGATGATGGTCTGGCTGACGATGCCCTCGTAGAGCTCCGAGTCCAGCACCATGTGAGGCTCCAACTCCTCCCTGGACTTGGATGTTGTCCGCTTGGGGCCCACAGAGACCTTCTCCCCATTGGTGCTGTCCAGTTCCTCGGGGGCGGAGCTAGAGGCACCACAGAGTGTCAGGAGGAGGGGCTCTTTGACTCGTTTGATCCTGACGGCCCGCTTCCCCCCTCTCAGCTGACCCAGAGACACAGGAACGTCACAACACAATCCAACACAAATCAAACCTGCTCTCAATCTTGATTACAGCACCAAGAGCTGCTGGGGAAGCAAAGAAGCATACCGGCAGGACAGTGAACTCCACCTCCTCATTGATGTCCTCCTCAGTGAAGTCCACATCACTCAAGTTCTCTCTGGTCTCAAACTGAAGCTCCCCGTGTTCTTCTGACTGAATGACGCCTTCATTTTCCTTCAGACTGACAATGACACCCTGCAGGACAAACAGCATCAAGCAGAAGCTCAGCAGCAGGTATGGTTGCTGGGCAGCGCCGCCTCACCTTCTCCCTGGTCTCCCTGGTGGAGCCGAAGGTGGCGGGGATCTTGGGTCTGATGTTGGTGGCTCGCCGTTTCTCCGTGACGATGTCGGTCAGAACGTTGATGAGCACCTGATCGTCCTTCAGCAGCGTCACCATGCTGTCCTTCCTCTCAAACGCCAGGTTGGTCCGCACCATGCCCAGGGTGACGTGCACCTGGCCGGGGTACTGCCGGTCGCCGGGCTGCAGGGACACCAACCAGAGCTGAAGACTCAGAGACCTTCTGACCTGCAGAGGGGTCTGATGCATCTAGACCCAAAGGCTTCTGCTCACCCCCCCAAACCTTGTTCTTTGGCCTGTGACCGGGTCTCTGGCCAGACGGTCAGGCAGAGATTTAAAGAGGAGCAGCAAAAGCAAAGGCAGTGGGTGAGCAGAGCCTGGTGTCCTGCAGGACACACCGTACCTGCAGTCCAGATTCTGAGCCGTTAGCAGACTGAAGGAGTTCATCACTGTTACCTTAGCAACGACATACGTCCCACTATCAGCTGAGTCTAAGTGTGATGTCATCAGAGTCAGCTGTTGTTAAGCAACACCATCCTCATCCCTGGATCGCCAGGTTACTGAAGACTGATGCATCTTGAGATTTGTAGTTTTACTGGCAGTACTGTGCATCATCCATGGGCCACATGGGCGCTATGAGCTCAACATGGCCGCCAGAAAGGAACCAGAACCAACCCACTGTCGCTATCTGCAGCAATGCATGATGGGCTTCGGCTCTTTGGTCAGAACAGCAGAGGAAGAACGAAGGTTTGGGTGAAAGTAAACTGGTCTGGACTCCCTGGACCAGAATCACCTTCTGCTGGAGAGGAAACCAGAGTGAGGAAGACCTGGGGCTCCTCCTCCTCACTAACCTGCGGCTCCTCGATGGCCTGGCTGACCACGGCTTCGTAGATCTCCGGGTCCACGTTCTCCGTTCCCCCCGGAGCCACTTTCACATCTGTGGCCACGGCCCGGTTCTGTCCAAGGAAGCAGATTCAGCTTCAGACGGTGGTTCTGACCGGACCACAGGGAGAACCACCGCAGACTCACCTTCTCCTTGCAGGCCGTGAAGTGGACCCGGACGCCGGGCGTCAGGGCATTGGGGTTCCCAAAGAAGACATCAAAGCTGAACTGGAACTTCTCCAGGTCTTCCCTCTCGATGGAGCCGAACGTTGGCTGTGGACAGGAAGAACGTTACTGACAGGTTCTAGCTGGGTCCATCGGACCTCAGAGAGGCTGGCAGTGCAGAATCCTCACCCCAACGAAGGAGATGATCCCCGTGGATCTGCCAGGTGGAGGCCTGAACACAGAGACACTCAGATTAAACACCTGGCTCCAACATCTGGAGGACGTCCACACCAGAACCCACTCACCTCTCGAAGGTCCGCTTTCCTAGCAGCCCCAGCGCCTTGGCCGTGTACCTGGACTCAGGCTTCGGGGCGGCGGGAGGTGTGGGGGCAGCAGCCGGGGCGGGGTCAGGGGGCGCGGCCTTGGTGACGGCGGGAGCATCAGAGTCTTTTCTAGTCTCAACTGGAGTCGAGTCACCAGGTGGAGCAGAAATAAGAGCCTTGATCTGGAGGAGAGAAAAAAAGACTAAACAGGAAGCTGCTGGTCGACCAATCAGAGACCAGAAAACCAACCAATCAGAGATTAGTCTAATGACTTCAGACTGGTTTAAAGTGGTTCCAAATCATTTTAAACTGGTTCTGGGGTCAGAGATGAATGGACCAATCAGTGAGCCGTCCTGAGATCCAGGCTGGAACCAGACTCACCCACTCCGGTTGGTCAGGCGGCGGGTTGGGCATCGGCTCCTCCACCACCGGCTGAACAGAGAAAACAACTGAATCAATTCTCATTATCTGACCAGAGCCACGGATCTGGAACCAGGAAGACCCCGTTACTGGGGACCAGTTCCCCTCTGAACCTCACCTCCGCAGTCCAAACCGGGGCTGGGAAGGGGGGCGGGAACCCAAATGGAGGCATGCAGCCCGGAGGAGGGACTGGCGGGACGGACGCAGGGTCTGGAGGGGGGATCCCAATAGGAGCGGGCGGGGGTAGACCAGGTGGGGGTAGACCGGGTGGAAGGACCGGTGGGACAGGTGGAACAGGAGGGACAGGTGAGACGGCCCCCGGACCCCATGGGTCAGGACACTCTGGACCCCAGCCTCTCCAATGCGGGGGTCGCTGCCAGTCTGGGGGAGGCACCCAGTCATCAGGATATGGGCCCCAAGCTGGAGGAGGGGGGCCTCTGGGGTCCCAGTCAGGGGGTGGAGGGCCTCTGGGGCCCCAACCTGGAAGAGGGGGACCTCTGGGGTCCCAGTCAGGAGGCGGGGGGCCTCTGGGGTCCCAGTCCGGGGGTGGGGGAAGTCTCGGATCCCAATCAGGAGGTGGGGGACCTCTTGGGCCCCAGTCATAAGGGCGACCCCATTCCGGAGGAGGAGGTCCCCTAGGGTCCCAGTCTGGAGGCGGAGGGCCTCTTGGACCCCATCCGTCTGGGGTCGGTGGTCCCCAACCACCGGGAGGCGGAGGTCCCCAACCTCCTGGTGGAGGAGGGCCCCAGCCCGGCGGTCCCATCTCGAAAGGAGGTACGTCTTCCCCTGGAGGTCCGAGAGGAGTCCTGTCCCTCGTGGGTCCGTCTCCGCGGCCCATATCGGCAGGGAGACACCGAGGAGGTTAGCAGCTCCGTTAGCCGCAGGCTAACTACCAACAGTCCGACTTTAAAGCTGAAATGCAGCCACTTAACCCGCCGCTCTACCGTGAACAGCAGCTTAGCACCCCTATCTAACCTCCCAGTCCGAAAAACACCGCTTCTACCAATGAATATGTTAAATATTTAAGTTTATTTACGAGTTTCTTCCATTCCCACTCCGGTACGTCTCTTCTTCTTATGAATAATCAGTGGAAACGAGCGATGCTGCCCCCCACAGGTCGACCGAGGAAGCGCAGTTCCGTTCTCTGCTTTAACTTCTGCTTAAATTGGAAACTGTCCCCAAACAGCGTTCAGCTCGGTCCAGTTTGCCCTAGTACTGGTTCACACTGGTTTCAGATTCATTCAGATTGGATCCAAACTGTTTCAGCCCAGATGTAACCTGCATCAGCCACTCTGACTCCAGACTGATGCTACTAGTTTCAGTCCAGTTTATATGGGTCAAAATTATCTCAGGTTGATTAAACTGGTTCCACTCGCGGTTTTGGTCAGATTCAGTGAAAATGCTGCTGCTGTGGAGATGAAAACCTCTTTCTGGTTCCGTTTGGTCCTGTTTGAGCAGACCTGAGTTGGATGAAGTTGCCCGACTTCCTGCTCCGCCATCAAACTGCTCCTGGGTGTCATGGCATCACGATTCTAACAGTTCAAATTGTTTATTGGGGAACTGTACAAACTCCAATCTAAAGACAAACTATAAGAAACTCACAGAAGTCCTTCTGGCAATTGCTAAGAAATGCATTACAACAAAATGTAAATGAGACAACCCCCTTCCAGCTCAACTGTGGCTTAGTGAGATCAATAGCTGTGTGACCCTAGAAAAAAGAACCTACTGGATGCAGAATAGAAGTAAGACTACTAAATATGGCAACCATTTTTAAGGTATGCAAAACCCACCTGCACGTTGGATTGACTGATCTTCCTGTAATGGAGATGGACTCACAGGATCTGTGAGCGATACTGATCACCACATCTCTGATTCAGACATTTTTATTTAATTATCGTAAATGCATCTTACTTTAGGTTTATGTCTCATTGTTTGAATTTTGCTTGATCCTGAACCAATTTTGTCTTGTAATGAGCGCGCACAACGCCTCAGTGGAGTTATGAACGATGGACAGGCTGAATAAGAGTAAGAGTCTAAAGGGGGGCCTTTTTAAAAAAAACCTGCTGCCGGGTCTGGACCGTCCGGTTCTGATCCAGAAAGACGCTGAGAAAGTTTAAACTTTATTTTGAATTTATTGAGTCACTGAGACAGAACCACAGCAGAGTGGACCGGGCCTCGACTTGACCATGCACAGCAGCAGAACCAGGATGGAGGTTCTCCTGCCTGCAGTCCAGTTCTACTGGGAACTGCAGGGCGGCGTATTTGACCCGATGTCTCTCTGAGGTCACAAGGAAGCAGAGGTTCCTCCAATGACGTTCAACCAGAGCCGTGACATCACCTCCATCTGGACCCAGAACAGCTGATCTCAGTGTATGTAACCTAAGGTTCTGATGGTTCTGTAGAACAGGAGCAGAGTCGGATGCAGCGCTGCAGAAAAGCTTTTATTTTGTTTGCTGGCTGAAGGAAACAGAACATCGTAGAACATTATGAATATATGATCTCTCAAAATTACAGCAAAATAAGGAGCCGGCGTATCAGATACCCGACTCCAGAACTACGACCCAGAACTCTGACAGAACCGAGTCACTGCAGCGGCGACGCTTGGTACCGCGGGCCTCAGGTGCATAGAAACCTCCGGGCCGGCCCCCAGGTAAAATTCTGATCGAGGCGGCAGGAGGCAGCGTGTTCCTCAGGTGAAGGCCGGGTCCATCAGAACCAGACCAAGGCAGAACGTGAGGCGGGTCGGGGGTCAGACCGATCCGATCCAGTTCGGTCCAGGGAAAGAAGCAGCGGGACGTCGACAAGTCCAGAGAAGGTCCAGAATACCGGCCGGGTCTGAGCTTCAGGAGCAGAACAAACCGAGGACCCGGTTCCACCGGTTCACACAGACAAAACTGGTTCCACACCAGTTTCCACCAATCCAACTTAAATGGTTTCTACTTTTGATCAAACCAGTCTCTGAGTGTTGGGTGGAAACTGGTTTGAAACCAGTGTACACCAGAATCAAACAGAATTAGACTGGACAACTGTAAAGCGGTTTCAGACTTTGTTCCACTGCATTCACAACAATCTAGTCTCAAACCAGATTAAGTCAGCATGATATGTGTTTTAAGATGGTTTCCCATGAGTGTAAACTGGTTCCAGGTCTGTTCACATTGGCTTTAGTTTGATCTGCTTCCAGATCCCTTTGGACCCGTTTACACTGGGTTCAAACAAGTTGAAATCAGTCTGAGATTAGATTGTTTTCAGACTGGTTACCACTGGCCTGTGATCAGTGTGAACCGGTCTCAGACTACTTCAAACTGGTTTAATCTGGTTTCAAACTAGACTAGCTATTTGCTTTGGTGGAATCAAAAGGTTGTCAGACTGGTGCAAACCAGTTCGTCTGAAACTGGACTCAGAACCGCGTCCCCGTCCCGTACTTTGGCCGAAAGAGAACAGAATCAGAAAGTGAAAGCGAGTGCAGCGAGGGGGGTCAGGGGTCAGGGGTCAGTGGAGGACTGGATCGTTCCCGTCGGCCCAAATGTCCTCAAGGTGACGTCACACGGCTGGGAGGGGGCGAGGCTTCGTCCTCGCCTCCTCCAGTTCTGACCCGGCTCAGTCGAAGGGGCTGAAGTCCCTCTCCAGGTTCTCGGACTCGTCGTCGTCGGAGAAGAAGTCGTCCTCGTCGATGTCGTCTTCGTCGTAGTCTTCGTGCCACTCAGGAACGTACTCTTCGTCGTACTCGTCATCATCGTCCTCCACCTCCTCGCCACCCTCCTCGCCGTTGTACGTGTTGTTGTCCGAATCTCCAGAGTCCGACCCGCGGTTGGACTTGGACCTGAAGGAAAACACAGGTGAGACACACCTGGCCCTCACCTGTATCTGATTAATTCCTGCATCAGAACCAATCAGATGCAGGAAGCGTCTGATTGGTTCTCTAAATGTCTGAAACTGATCTGGGATCAGACCCTATCCTATCTGAGATACAGGGACAGGTGAGGGACAGGTGAAGGACAGATGAAAGAAGTGAAGGTCAGGTGAGGGACAGGTGAGGGACAGGTGTGTCCAGGTCCAGCACTGACCCCTTGTTGGTGTCCGTGTGGTTGGACAGGCTGGACGCCTGCGTGGTCTCGGGCTCCTGGCCGCTCTTGGTCTGGTAGCCGACCCTGAAGTCCTGGACCAGAAACACATCACGGAGTCAGACTGGAGAGTTCACACTGGAAACTGGTTTAAACTGGACTACCAGTGTCTCTGGATCAAACTGGATTCATTTTGAAGTTTTAGAGGTCATGGGTTCCAAGATGGCGGCCTGACAGCAGCAGCCAATCCCTGAAGCTCCTGAAACCATTTGTAATAGATCTGCAGGATTTCAACCTGAACTCTCCCGACTCCCTCTGGGTGGCGCCACGGCTGCCTGGAGTCGGACCCGAGACCAGGGACTAAACTGGTTTACCACAGGTCATATTAATCCGGTTCCAGGTGGTTTTAATCTGGATTAAAGCGTTTCCTGCGGTTCGGTGGTTCCGGACAGGCACCTGGGTGGAGTGCTGCAGGATGGCCAGCAGGCGCTCCTGGATGCGGCGGATCAGCTCCAGGCCCGTGTTCAGATGTTCTGGTTTGAGCAGCCGGACGCAAGAGGCCAGGTCAGTGCACTGCAGCAGCGTCTCCTCTGAACACAGAAACCAGTAAACCCAGTCAGACCAGTGAGGCCTGTGGCTGTGCTGGTGGCTGAGGCCAGGTCTCACCCAGCAGGATCTGCAGGGCGTTGGTGTGGAGGTCCAGCGCCTCCGTCTGCTGCTCCATCACGTCCATCTTCTCCGTCTCCTGGTTGTAGTAGCTGTAGACGCAGGAGTAGGCCAGCACCTGCAGACACAGAGCAGGGCATAGTTGGCGCGCCGCTCAGCGCTCCACAGGCCAACAGGAAGAGGAAGCTACCTTTCTGGCCTGAGCCAGGACTTTACAGGCGTCGATGACGAAGGTCAGCGACTTCATCTGCAGAGCCTCGTTGATGGACGACACCTTGCTCTCCAGGCCGACGGCAAAGTCCTGAAGCACAAACAAAACTTCCAGATCTGTCTGGAGCAGTGGTCCCCAACCCCA